CTTGTGACATAGTAGTAGTTGGCACACCCCTCTGGAGTGTTTGTAGCTGAAATGTTTAATAAAAGTAAATGTAATAAGGAGAGAGGAACAAACCCTGTTACTTTAAGACTGGTAAGAAAGGCTGATGACAGATTATTTCGTCCCTAAATAAAGCTCTGAGTACGAAGGGACTGAGGCATACGGAGTAACCGTTCATTATAGCGAGTAATATAGTTTGGGTAAAATACGTAAGCATAAGCAGTCGAGCGGGCGGCACGCAGGCAGGCGCGCGGTGCGGACGCCCTCCTCCGCGGATGAGCGGCCGCAGCCCGCGCAACGAGTGCTGCCCTAAGCCCCGTCCCTGACAGCGCTAACTAAGCATTTCCTTGGCGTAACACCTCTCTTTCCTAGCAGAGTTAAAGCAAAGGTTTTCGCTAGTGTTTAGCTGTTACACAAATGAGTTAATCCTAATCTATATGAAGAATAATTCATCACTCCGTTCTTTCAAACGACTTTTTCTAAGTTCGTATTGCATCTTCTCCCTTCTATTCCCTGTGCCCCAGGCAGACAGGAGCGGGTGCCAGTGTCGCTGCCCGTCGCGCGAGGGCTGCCTGGGCTGCAGCAGGAGCGGTTTGCGTGGAGGGGAGCTGGCGCGGCACCGAGCGCTGGCTGCGCATCAGGCACCCAGGCTTCCCCCCTCTGCTTTAGCTCGGACTTAGCTGTAAAGTCTAATGGCTAGGTTAATATTCCTCCCTAACATTGTTCCTTATAATCGATCTGAATTTTAAAAGCGTATTTCTAATATGCACCAAATGTTGAATATTAATGAGTGGCATAAATATTTCGCGTCAGGGAGGTGCTCACTGGGGTGACAGTGTTATCCGACGGCAAAGACTTTTCTCCGTGGTGTTTTTTTCCCTCCCCATCATACCCTTATTGTACTGATATGCAAAGAATTCGCGTTTGCGAGCTTGAAATGAGACTTGCATGACATGACTGTAGTTCTTGGCAAACTCTCGTGCTGTTTTAATTTTAACCAATTAGAAGAGCCAATCTTCTTTAGTTCAGAAGTATATTAAAAGAGATCACATTCAAAGGCTGGACGTGCACTCTGTTAAGTCCCGGTGTCCAGCGGAAGGTCTGCCGGTGGCTATCGCCATGACAACCTTTGGGGGACCCCGGCCCACCTGTTGCAAGGCGGGAGCCGCGTCCGGCAGTTGGTTCCCGCACTCGGCCCCGCGGCGGCCCGGGGGGAATTTGTACTAATTAGAATTAGTTGTCCGGCTGTAGGCCGGCTCCTGACACAAATTGCATTCTGCAGCTTTTTGTTCCACTTGAGTTCACAGACAAAATAGCCCGTGCCGTGTTTGAAATGAAGCAAGGCAATATGAAAGGATTTTATATAATCGGTTAATATACTTCAACATTTTAACTGATACCTTCGGTGTTGCTTCCTTGAAAAGGCGCATGTTTGCTTGCCTCTTCTTTTACTTAATAATTATTTATGATCACACAGTGGGTAATTTTAATACAAATTTAAGCTTGTTCAGGTGTCGTTAAATCATCGTTGGGCTTGACTGCGTGTGTGAGGAAACAAGTGACCTTTAAAAATGATAGTTTGAAACAGAAGCCGTGGTAATGGGGAGCTGCAGAAGTACAAACTGCAGCGCAGAAGAAGAAAGAGACCTTTCACACTTATCAGGAGAATAACTTTATTGAATCATAAAGCCGATAAAGAGAAATTGTTTTAAAAAAAAGTGGAAAGGGCGAGGAAGGGAGGTAAAGAGAGCGTGTTGCAGTCTGCTGATGAGAATACAAAGAAAGGTAGATCGACGGCAAAAGTTGGGATTTTTCACTCGTCAGCCACTGTTGGAAATGGGAAAGCCCGTGCACCCCGGCGCCAAAGCAGGTTAAAGCAGCCGGCTACCGCGGCTCCTCTGCTGGGCTCTGTTCGCTGGGAACACCTGAAGAAGCTGCCTGGAAAGGTGGTGCCAGGCGCAGCGGCCGGGCCCCTCGCCCCCGGCATCGCCGCTGTCCAAGGGGCCGCCAAAGGGGTGGCTGCAAAGTTCACTTTAGGATGGGAACTTGGATGGGATTTAAGGGGAGATCTAACCATTTTTGGAGGAGTTAAAAGTCACAAGAAGTGCACGAAAGAGGCGGTGAATCATGAGCAGCCCTAGGGTGCCCTGAGGCGCTACCGAACGCTGACTCCGCTTCCAGCGTTGCTCAGCCCGGATGCCCGCCGGGGAGGTGGGGGGCGGCAGGCAGGGCTGCGTAGGGCCCCTGGGGCTGGCTCCCGCGGGCCGCCTGGGAGCAGGACCGCGAGTGCCCGCTGCCGACTTGTGCCTCTGGAAAAACCTAGCTGCACGGAAATGAATGCTAGGTGTCCAGGGACTTCTGAGGTTCATGATGAAGGTGGCGGAGCAGGAGGCTTGTATGCCTTTCTCGTTGCACAGTCCCAGTAGGAGATTTTCATTCACGCCAAAGGATCCCTGTCTCGATGTCTGTGCTGTTTAGGTGGCATAAGTGTAACGAAGGGCTAGAATATACTGGTACTTAAAGTGTCTTTGCTGTGCAAGACAAAAGAGAATAATGGAGCAGAAACGCAGATGAGTTTGCATAACTGGCAGAATTCGGACAGAAGAAATCCCCGCGATTATTAACTGCTCCAAGTTGGAATCCAGTATCCCATGTCTGTGCGTGGGTATTTCATGGCTTTTCTGTGGGTGGCAATACATATTTTGGGAGGAAGGTGCAGAAATTTACAGAAATACTTTTCAGATGTTTGGGAACTAATGGGACATGAGGATTACTGTCAGCTCATCCCAAATATTTTGCTTAACAGAATTTTTTAAAACTTTCCTGTCTGTGTATTTTCCCTTGCAAAAGAATATACCAAGTACCAGCAATGATTTTAAAGGTTTTTCTAGCTCAAGTAAATAATGAATAACCAACATTACCTGAGTATAGTAAAAGTAGGGGTTTTAAATTACTGATTGCTGGCCTGATCCTGATTGCAGTAACAGCAGTGATAAATTTCTGCTCTATGTAAAGAAAATAATAGAGTAACATAAGCAACAGGCCCTTCCCTGTGCTCATATTCCTTATATTCATGATACATCTGAAATGATTGTTTTCTTCACATTCATTCATTATTTGAATTTCATTTCCTGTCTAGTATTATTGACATTACATTCCATATCCAGTTTATGCATTTACATTCATGTATTAAGCTGTTGCTTAGTTATGGTGATGGTATTTTGCTCACCCCACGCATTCAAAAATCATGATTCAGAGACCCTAAAATCATGAGACTAGGCTAAATCATGAGGCTTAAATGAAGTGCATTTTGGCTCTTTTCATCTCTCTCTGGGTTTTGAACCAGTGTGTGCACTTGGTCATGTTTTCAAACTTTCCTGCGTAACAAGGGCTAGAAATATCTTTTCTTAATGGCAGTTGAAATTGCTGTCATGTGACTCCAGAAGCACACCAAGTATCACAAGCCACATCAGTACTGCAGTAAAATCAAGCTCTCTGGTCACTTTGTGATTAGTCATATGTCACAGGGTCCGGTCTTTTTGTATCTCACTCGCAAGTCAAGAAGCATACCTAGTATAAATAGACCCACATATGAATATTACATTCCTTCCCAAGTGTCTTTGTAAAATTTTGAAATCCACCTCCCGTAGATACATGCTGCAGAAATCCATCCCCGGCGTGGCACAGTGGTGAACTTTTTGTTTTATTTTTCAAGACCTACTCCACTGTTATTTTAAACGAGGAAGCAAAGCTGGCTTTTAAGAAAAAAAATCTTTCTTTTTTATTTTCTTTAGTAATCCTTGTCCCACGGATATTATTCTATTGTCAGTAAGTAAAAATAGTTATGGTATTTGGAATTTCATGCCACTTTAGCCTGCTACCCTTTTGTAGTCTCTCATCAAGGAGATTAGACTGGGGTAGATGTCTGTGTACTGAGTAAATTACTTTTGCTACAAGCAAACTAGGAGGTTAACCAAATGCTCAGTATTGGCACCAACTGCTGACCATGTTAGTCATTACCACTTAGGAAACACAATGTGTGTTATACTATCCCAGCAGAGGTGCCAACTCCGTTAACTCCATCACTGCTGTTCTACAAAGGGAAGGTATCCCCTGAAACATTTCAGCAGTCCGATTTTGCCGGCCTGTTGTGTCATTTCAAAATACCATACTGGCACCTCAGAGGAGTCTGCAGCAGCCCAAAAGTGTATGTGGAGGCAAGAAACAAAGAACTCAGCTCAAGAGCAACCAGGCTCTGCAAGCACAAATCACAGGGGCAAGCGGGGAGCATGCGAGGGTCACACTTCCTTCGGCCACCCCAGTCTCTACTCCTTCCTTTTCCTTACAGGACATGCATCCCATGGAAAATACAGACGCATCTTGATGCAAGCAATTTTCCTGTTAGTGCAGCTAGTCCTTGTTTTCTGTTTGGTAATCCTTGTCCCAGCAACAGAACTGCAGTTTTGCTTGGACAAAGCAGTGTATTAATGGCTCTGTCATAGCTCCCCAGAGGTTGAGCTCTGCTGGGCAGAAAGGAGGAATTGCAGTGCTGAAGCAGCTGGCTCAAAAAGTATTTTAGTTAAGAATAGAAGTTGCTAAATGAAGCACAGAGCAGATGGTCCGATTCCAGTTTTAAAAGCATATGAAGAGCTCCCACTTGAATTCCTGCCTTTTTGAGGATTTCTGGCCACAACCACATCTCATTTCCAAGTCATCTATTTGGGATATGGTAGAGCTAAAACCAGTACTGAGTCCCGGAGCACCACCAGTGCATCACGCTGCCTCTGTGTTGTTGTCCTGCTCCTCATCACACAAAAGAGAGAAAAAGGGGTTAATTTACAATGAGCAAAACACGTTGCGGGGTTTCATGGGTCACGTTTAGCCCATACGTCGTCTATTGGCTACCTCTGGGTTGCTGACTTCTATAAACCTTTTTTTTTTTTTTTTTTTAAATCTCTTTATGTCGTCTAGGTGTCCAAAGAACCTTACACAGAAGAGGAAGGAAAAAGGCATTTTGTGTTTGCTCAGATGTGATGCTTGTTAGCCCCAGTATAGCTAATCCTCTCTGTGTGACCTTTCTAACTTGATTTCCAGGTAGATGGCCATTTTTTCTGAAAAGCTGTCTATTGCAAAGCATGTTGTTAAAAGGAGAATAAAATCATTTGTCAAAATTGTATGAGTTTGTAATTCATAATAAGCAACAGGCAATTTAAGGAAATAGTTTTCTGCTACTGACACTGCTGTCAAAATAAATGTGGGGAGGATAATTATAGTAATTAACAAAATAGTTAATTATACTTTGTCATAAGATAAGGTTTAGTTTGATTTCTGATTAGGAGTAGATCAATACCAAATGTCTCACTGTACATATCTGATTATCATTGCGGGACTAGGCCAGAAGTCGTGTATCAGTTTTCCAAAGCATGCAAAGCAATGGGAAAGTGTTACCTCAGCAGCCAATCGCTCAGCACTTCTAATCTTTGAACATGTATCTTCACCCCTATAGCTCTGAAATCTTGCACTGTATTCTACTACGCAGGACTTGCCACCCTGCTGCATCTTGGCCTCTTTTGATGAGGGCAGGAGATGCTAAAACGCATTAACATCCTCAGTGGAAAGCAATGATCTCAGAGAGATTGTATGGTAACTTGTAACCTAACCTGGGAAGTCCAGGGATGTGAAATACAGAGAGAAAAAAGTCCCTGTAGGAATGGGTGACTAAAATGAGATGTGGTTAACTGTGAGATGATAGGGTGATAGCTGCACTTTTATAAATCTGAATGGTCATGTGAGTCTAGTATTGCCCAGGTATATCTGTGCTGGAGGAATGCATATATACGTTTCTCTGCTCAGGCATCTGTAACATATGCTTAGCCTGAAAAGAACGTTTCAATGCTTTGAAATGTCCTAGGAAAAAATCTGTATGCAAAAAGAAATTTCTTTTACCGATGTCTTTACCATTGCTCAGAGATAAAGTTCTAAATCCAGGCAATTGTTCTACTTTCTTGCCTTTTGCAGGACAAAAAGGCTAAAAGTAAAGATGAAAGGAAAATGTTGTGATTGTGTTAGGTGACAAGAAGTTGATCTAATCTATTGCTTTCTGAACCACCCCCACCTCTTCTCTCAGCCCATCCTCTGCATTCCACAGCTCCCGACAGGAAGCAGCAGTTAGTCTTTCTCTTTGATTTTATCACTGATCATAAAGAATCTGATCTAGCAAATCATGTAATCTTCTGTATGAGAATCAACTCTCGTAGCCTAGTAATTCTGTCTGCTCCATGTCTCAGTACAAAATAGGACAGGGAAATGTGATTTCTCAAGGGCAGAATACAGACTTTTGAAAGCATCTCAGTGACTCTGGGGTCTGAATCCCATTGAAAACCAAAGACATTTATGCTCCTAATACTCTTACGCTTGGGACTTTAAATTCCTAAGTCACATGAGTGCTTCTGAAAAATGGTATGGAGTTATACAGCCATAAGCCCAATTCTACTGATGCAGCCTATACAGACTCTTTATCTGATTAAAAATTGGTTCCAGTAAATTGAATTTGAAATGTGTCATTTTTATGTTTGCTGACATTCCTGGGTCTACTAATGGTTGTATGTCATTGGCATTCTAGGCAATGGAGTAGCCCAGAAATCGCTTTGGACAGCTGGAGAAGTGTCGACCCCACATTGCTTGCTCCACCCCAGCTCAAGATCTAGGTCTCGTACAGTGCTGGGAGCATGATGGCAGTGCAGTTAGCAGCCAAGATACAGCATTACAAACCTCAGGAGGAGCAAATTGAATATTCATATAGTCTGCACAGAGCATCCTAGTTCAGGTGTGTGACACAGTATGGTGATGGGTTCGCTGCAGTTGTGATGAAAGAGGAGGCAAGCTTTCCCTTTCCTTTCTCCTCTCATCCCATCTTTAGACATGTTCCATCCCTTTGTCGAAAGTCCAGAGCTCTTGGAGGCTATGATCTCAATGTGATCTGATCCAAGGCTTAAATCAGGTTGTCAAACCAGCAGATTTGACAGGGTTTGACACCCCATCAAAAGGAGCGTTCTCTCCCACCTGCAGCCGTGCCATCCTGCCACCTCCCATGCATGGGTCCTGCAGCTCCTGTTGCTGCACAGGTGAACGGAAAACCAACCCAGGCCAGACAAAAGATTTATTTCCAGCCTGGTCAGTTCCCTGATCAGGCCCGTGCATGGTAATATGAGCACTTTTGCCGGTATCACTGGGACAAGAAGGAGGGAACATACTACCATGATCTAGGAGGAGGACAAGACTGCTTCAGCTTGACCTGCTTGCACTGATTGTCCAACCCCAACAAGCTGTGTTCTCTTTCTGCGCCCAGAGGGCTTTTCCTACGTCCATTCATTTCATGCTTTCCCGGTCTTGAAAATTGAACTTTTGGGAAATCCCGCTGTCATTACAACAAAAGTTTTTGCTAATTTAATGCAGACTAAGCATATATGTAAAGAAACAGTATGGGTGGGAACAGAGAGTGGGGATAACAGGAACAAAATTGTGTTTACATAGGCAAGATGCATATGTGGCTGGATGGTTCCAAGTCAATTAAAATGCTTTCTTTTGAAATAAGTAGCAGGAGCATTGAACTGAGTGTGAGGTTCGACATTGACTTCAGTGGGAGATGGATCTGAGCAATTGATCTTATGGAACAATTAGGTAATAGTCAGAGCCTTTTTTTTTTTAATGCAGTTCCACAGCCATAGAATTTTGCCATATCATCTACTGACTAGCAGGGAATAGCAGGAAAAACTAGGCTTTCATTTTCATAAAATAAAATTTTGTTTGTGATCTGCCTGATTTGCACAGATAAACTTCCAAACCAAGACTCTTTTTGAATGAGTAAGCGATATGATAGAACAATACACCGTTGTGGAGCATTAATCCTGAAGTCTAATAATGGCAATGCCGAGCCACTCAGCGGAGACTATAGTTTGTCGGTATGCTTAGCCTTCATTATCAGAGATTTTCAGCTGCAGATATCAGGATGGGAAGCTGAATGGTGACAGATGACTGCTGTCAGAATTTGCTGGTGTACAGATCACCTCCATTGTTACTGACAGTCCTTAAGGAAGTTAAGTCATGTCCATTCCATTCTCTATTCCAGAATTCTCAACTGCTTCCCACACTGTACTGGGTTTCTAAAATCCCACCACTTTGCCACCAAGATCTTTGAACTCTCTAGCCAGTCCAGCAGTTTCTGCAGCACAGGTATGCTATGGGGTTTTTTTTTGTTTTTTTTTCCTAACTGGGCATATGAGGTCGTCCTGAAACGACAAACCCCACAAACCAGGAATTTTGTCACTGCCTCATAGGGTAAGCTGGCCGCAGAGCACATGAAGTCTTCCTTAGTAACAGCGTTGTGATGCTATTGCAGTGTAAAGCAGGGCTCCAACGGTAAACAGAGAACAAGGAGAACTTCCTTTCCCCTTCTGTCCTCTCCCAGATGTATGGTGTTAGGTTACTTAATTAATTTTAACAAGGGAATGACATTCCCCCTCCATTTGTGCCTTGTCTTGAAAGGATGCAATGTCCAAATATCAATTTCAGCCCATGATCCCCTGCCAAAAAGAATGCTGGGCCAGATCCTGCCCAAATCAGTAGCAAAATCCCACTGGCTTCAGCAAGAAGGGGATCAGACTCTGGAAATGAATAGCATGGCTCTGGAGAACTCTTAATTAATCTACGAGGTGCTCTGTGCCCGCAAAGTTTTTCTTAGAAGCTGAGAACCGGGCACCTTTGCTTGGAGGTGCTATTTATATCTTTATATGCCTCTGCATGCAATAAAAGCCAGCATAAAAACATATAATTAGAGCAGCTTCTAATTGGAATGGCAGGAATTAAGAGAGGAGGATAACAGCCAAGGTAAAAAACCACATAGAAACAAAAGCAAAGTGCTCTGTTGTACACCACGGAAAGGATGCTAGTGCTGGAGTAAACTCTTATGCTGAAGTGGCTACTTAAAACTGATGGCCAGACAAAGGACAATTGAGGTGGGTAAATGAAAGGAGACCTTGCGCGTTACAACTACTAAAATGAAAAAATCCTATTCAAACTGTACTGCCTTTCGGGGAGGGTAGGGGGGCTGATAAGTTTATTTACACTTTTAAAAAGCACTGCCAATCCCAATTTATCAGTTACTGTCTTGTGACAATTTATTCATTGTTCACCGTTAGAAGCTAGAAGTTACATAGGAAGCATGATTGGTGATAGCTTCTCTATTTCAATATGGTATAATAGAGATAACACAGTGCCCAAAAGCTCTACAGCCGCCTTTTTGTCTGCTTTGTCTCTTTTCATTACTCTATCAGAATCTTCATTTAATATAATCCAAAAAAGCAAGGTAATTGCTTCACTTATCAGTTATCATCGCACTCGCATACTTATCATGTCAAAATTATTTATGTGGATGGCCAGGTTGATCTTGCTGCATTTAGAAGCTTAAAATTTGAATAACTGTTCTGCCAGTTAGGTTATCAAAACTGCAGCATAAGCAATGAGTTTCTTCTTTCTGGATCTTTGAGGGAGAATAGGGAGCATCTCATTGCAGGACTAGTTTCCCCGTGGCTGAACAGTGCTCCAAGGAGACTTGCAACAATTCTGTAGCCTGGCACTCTGAGCGCTGGGGACAGGCTTTATTTGCTAGATGAACAGTAAATAAAGATGGCATGATATAAATAGAGACAATAGAGAGACACATAAAGGGGCATTGTCAAGGTTGTCAGAGGTCCCAAATTAAAATGATAATTTACAGACCGGTGCAATTCTTCCTTGATTTGTCCCCTCTTTTGAAACAGATGTTTCATAGCTCTTTTTCTATATCATTTTTATTTCTTTATGATATTGGAGGATGGTAACTCACCTCTTTGAAAGCCCCAGAGGCTGAAATAAAACAAAACATGCAAGTTCAGAAAGTCATTTTAACAACTTTTTTTAATATAGAAGAAATCTCCCTCAGCCAAGCTCTTGGACACTTTCACAAAGGGTAATAGAGAAAAGCCTATCACAAACAGGTACAAATAATATAAAAAGTAATGTGCAAACATTTTTCCCAACACAGGTGGTGAATTCATGCCATGGTTATGTTATTCATCATGTTATTCAGAAAACTAGGAACCTCTCCATGATAGCCCCTCACAAGCACAGCGTGGACCACTGGATGTTTTGCCGTGAATGACTTCTCTGAAAATTCGTTACTGAAGGTACCCAATCTGTTATTCACCGTTTGTCAATCTTTTGTTTTAAAAGGTTTTGGCTTTGCAGTCAGTGAGCAGAAGCAATCCCAAGTGACTGAGGAAGACCAGTCACCCACGCTGCAGAGTGCAAACTGGCCCGTCCTGCTGTGTTCAAACGGAACAGACCTTGAGCAAGCCACGACACACAAGTTAGTATCTGTGTGAAATTTGATTCGTATCTGAATGAAAAAAGGGGGCAGGAGACATCTAGAGAAATCACTCTCGGTTTGTAAATGCTTTGCATGCAGAAAAAGGCTAATTTCAATCAATTTTTACTTATTACATGCATTTTAATCTGGGTGTTTCTAAACCTTTTTTGCTGTCTTCCTTCTTATGCAGCTGCAGTTGCGGCAGATCCTGCTGCTGGCAATGGCCAAGCAGGGCACCGTTAGCATTGGTGCGGAGGGAGGGGGCAAAAAGCTTTTATCTCTACACCAAACCGTGCACCACTTTGAACTGGCCAGTGTGCTACAGTTTGGGAAATTGCAATCTAGACAACCTACTTGACCTATTTCTGAGTTTTAAAATTAGGTCTAACAGGAGAGTGTAGGTGTCCCAGTATGTGAACCACCTCCTGAACCACAGACAGAAAAGAGAAATACAGCTCTTCAGTGGCTATTGCTGAGATTTTTGGCTGGTTATGACACAATTATCTATCACAACTGCCATTGGCAATAATTACTACTGCCTCTGAGACTTAGTAAATCTTGGGTAAAAGTCACAGCAGAGAAAAAGGCAGGGTTTGAAATCCAGATAGTAATTTCTCAATAGATTGCAATGCCAAAGGTATCTGGGCTAAACAGAGATCCCTTGCCCAGCTCAGCGCTCAGGATACTTTTTGGCTTGTGTTTTAGGACCACAGTGATGTGTGGACCTAGCTATTTTGTGTTTTTTGGCTTCTGTGCAATTTATTTACCATACACCCTAACAGCAGCCTTCACATTCAACACTCATCTTGTGCAATGATCACTCATTCAATTAGGGGCATACAACAGAGAGTAATGTTTGTGATTTTTTTTCAGTCTGTTCCCTGGGGGATTCTAAAATACATTTCATAAGTCTATGCAGGCAGTCATTATCCAGATCGTGTTATGGGTTTTGTAACTTCACAATATATTTGATTGAAACATCATAACTCTTTCCAGGACAAAGGCTTGTAACGTTGCAGATGCAGGGAACAGAGAGGTCAGTAGTTGACAGCTGGTGGTTGGAGACATACAATCACAATATTCCCTAAGTTATTACAAAAATATTTAACTGAACAATGGTGGAAGAAAGTAAAAACCTAGTCAACATTAAAAGTAAACATAATTGTTGCAAATTGAATGAAATACTCTGCTGTCTTTGATGTGATGGCTGATCTGTAAGTCTTTCAATTTCTTTGCTTTAATATCAGCATTTCCTCAGTCTAAACCTTTTTGAGACAGTAGCATTTTATCTCAATTATTGCTTTTTCTCCATCAGTCTTTAAATATAATCTCATTTGCCTTTATGGATACTGTAACCCTTCTGAACAGCTTTTAACCTTTTTAAAAATCGCCTTGACCTGAGGATGCCCAAAGTTTTTTCTTCTTCTTCCCCTGATTTTTTTAATGTAATATTGAATAATAGAAATTGGACAGATGAGTGATTTCCTAACCAGAGACCTGCATATGTAGCCTAGGATGCTAGAACAGAATTTTTGTTTGAATAATAATAAGAAAAAATTAAAATACCTCTATCTAGCTTTCTGCTAGCAAAGAACCTTCAGCTTTGACCTCCATTTCAGTGGCAGCATTGTAGCCTGTGCCACCACAATATTAGCTTTATCTTTTCAAAGGAAAAAAGGCTTTCTTTGTACAGTAACACATTAGCTTCAAAGAGCACTTACCTCAAGAGTCCAGCTCATCCTTCTGGTAAATTTAAGAAATACTCAGCTTAAGATTGTCTGTTTCAATCATGGATAATGTAGATAACTTTGTGTCTAAATGTTACCAAACCAGCTTTATGTCTGCTTTGTCTTTTCTCCCCACCCTTCCAGTTTTATTTTCTCATTTAGTATCTAACAAAGATGCAGGCTAATGGAAGAATGATACATGAGTACAGCTAACCCTTCTGGAATTTAATTGCAAATGTAGAAGTTGCTGTTCACTACCATTTGATAGCTGTGCGTGTCTTAGATGGCAGTCGCAAGGGGGGGTCTCTCCACCATCGTGTAACACCCGCAAGGTCCTCGGTGCGCTCCTCACCTCCTGAACCTGGCCTGGTTCAGCGCTGCTTGGGTGTACAGCTCAGTCTGCACACCTCAGCTGACATCTCCTCTACTTGCTTGCATGCAAAGGTATTTGTATTTTCTGAACTAGCTGACAGCACGCGTACCACACGGTAGCGCCTGGGAGACTTTTCCCCCAGTGCAGCCTGCTGTCTGTAGCATCACTGTGTGTCAGCTCGATGACGCAAAGGTTTTTCGGTGCCCTCCCTTGAGACGTGCTTCCAACAGGCATGCCTTCTTCCTGCCCTCCCCCTCCCACATACACACGCAATTTGAGTATCAACACCTAGAAAGTCACCTTCCACGCTTACCTATCCCAAGCAGCGATGCTTCAAGTTGAACAGTGGTTCAGGAGAGCAGTAGGGTATTCCTGTGAGCACCCTAACATGTTAAACAACCATGTCAGGGAGCATTACATGTGTCTAGCAGCAAGTACTTAAAGAGACTATCCGCTGAAAGAGGTTGATTTCTTATTTTAAGTTCTCATACCTGTAGTTTTAAGGGAAAACAATGAGTTTAAGAAGCTAGTGATTAGGTTCAACTACATCTCCCTAGACCCTGGCAGTAGCAATGTTGCTCAAAGTAGACC